CAATCGTGGTACAAAGCTCAATAAAAATATTAAAAATAAAATGTTAACAAGCCACAATAACATTGACAAACAAAAAGAGAAATCGTTTGCCAAATTTTACAAGCGGCGATGAGTCCCTTCTTATCACATTGGTCGAGCGGTACGCCAATAAAATAGAAAATAAAAGAAGCGACGCAGTTTCGTGGGAAGAGAAGCGAAAAGCGTGGGAAGAAATTGACCTTAAGTTTGAGTCCCAAACTGGTATCAGGCGCGGTCCTAAAAATTTGCGGGAGAAGTACGAAAATATGAAGAAGAGATCCAGGAAGAATTTAGCCGATGAAAAGAGGGAGCTATATAAGATTGGTGGGGGCCAGTTTCAACACCGACCGGACAAAAATACGGGCAGGCTAGCTACGCTCATGGGCCAATCTGCAACCGGCTTGGAAAATTACGTAGACAGCGATGGTAAGATTTCGCTTTTATTTACATGCAATAGTAGTTACTGATACTTGAATTTTACATTATTTCAGCAATAGTCACTTATGAACAAGAGCCTGAGTACTTGGACGAATCTATGCAGAGCTGTACCGTAGAACATCTGGACGCGGCATCAGAAGCTAAGGAACACGTAAATTATATAATCAGGCAGGTTCTGCAATTCACTACCGAGTGAATTTAAACGCCTGCCAATTTGAATTCAAAGCGCATTTTGTTGAGATTCACTCGGAAGTGAATTGCAGAACCTGCCTGTATATTTCAAAATTATAGATTTTCCTCTATAAATAAGTATTTCTTTAGGATGCCAGAGCAGATTGGAGTTCATGGAACCCAACTCTGCTACGTTCAAAACCCAACGAAAAACTAGCGACAAAGCGCGAAAAGAAAAAAGAAACTTCTGATGCACACCAAATCTTCTGGATGGAAGAAAATCAAAGAGCTGCTGAGCGACATACATGGGCCAAAAAGAAGAATGAACTTGAATTAAAGGAAGCAGAGATGAAACTGGAAATTCTAAGATTAGATGTACAACTAAAGACAAATAAAATAAAAAATAAAATAAAATAAAAATAAACAAGTTGAATAACTAAATACTAAATAAATTTAAATTAAATAAATAAATACAAATAAAAATGAAATAAAATCAAATCGAATAAAATAAAATAAATAAATAATCATGATCAAATGAGCTTAAATTAAATTTAATAAATTTAAATAAAATAAAATGAAATAATAATATAAAATAAATAAGTAAATATTATATAATGAGCTTAAGTAAAGTTCCATAAAATAAAATAAACAAATAAATGAAGAACTTTGATAAAATATAATCAAAGAAAATCAAATAGAACAAAATAAAATAAAAGCAAATGTAATAAGAATAGAATGAAACAAGTAAATAAATAAATTCATTAACAAACAAAAAATAAGTAAATGAAAAAAAGGCAAGCATGTAAATAAATAACTAAAAAACTTAAAAGATAAATGGAATAAAACAAAAATAGAAGAGGATTTAATAGAAATTCAATAAAAAGAACTGATTCGAAATAAAATAAGACTGAATTAAAATATAATAAAAAGAATGCATGAAATTAAATTAAAATAATTTGATGAAGTTATAGTGATGTGAAAAGTAATAGGGACGCGATATTCTGACCACCTTTGACTAGTTTCTTTTTTTTTGTTTAATGTTTATTATTACTTTTTAAACTGAGCTCATTATCTAACAAAAATAAATTTAAAACTTTTTAGAAAAATGCAACAAAATTTGACAACAAAGTATTTAGTCAAATTTTTTAGAAAAAATCGAAGTATGTGGTTTTATAGCCCATTAAATTCAAGATCAGATTAAAAGGAAATAATAAACATTAAACAAAGAAAGAAATCAAGAAATTAGTCAAAAGTGGTCGAAATGTCGCGTCCATATTTCTTTTCACATCATTATAACTCCATCAAATTATTTTAATTTAATTTAATTGCATTCTTTTTTGGGTAGAATTTAATGAAATTAAATAAAACAAGAATGTGAAAAATAATTTATATAAATATTTATTTATGCATATACAGTGGTGGAAGAAATAATAGAAACTTTTTATTTTGACCAGTTTTTGCTGTATTACTTTTGTTTATTTTATGGACTCTCATATTCTTATTTGATGTTTAATATTTTTTATAAAAGTCTACCGCATTATATAACGCACACCATATAAACCCACATTTCAAACGTTGTACAAAAATTTTAAAAATTCAACCAATTTTACCGAAATCCCCCAAAAATTTCGAACTTTTTATTCAGAGTTTAAAAAAAATTCGGTTACGCAGTTTTATAGCTCATTCAATTTTAGTAGGTCAAAGTGCAAATTTCAGAACGCTAGAAAACCGCGTTGATTTTTAATAATTATTTTGGCTGACGGTGTTGTGTATTTTCTTTCATATAAAATATGTTCGACCATGCTCAAAGTTTCTTTTAATATGGAAGAAAATGCCTAACAGCGTCAGCTAAAAAAAAAAATATTAAAAATCAATGCGATTTTCTAGCTTTCTGAAATTTGCACTTTGACCTACTAAAATTGAATGAGCTATAAAACTGCGTAACCGAATTTTTTTTTTAAACTCTGAATAAAAAGTTCGAAATTTTTGGGGGATTTCGGTAAAATTGGTTGAATTTTTTAAATTTTTGTACAAAGTTTGAAATGTGCATTTATATGGTGTGTGTTATATAATGCGCTAGGCTTTTATAAAAAATATTAAACATTAAATAAACAAAAGTAATATAACCAAAACTGGTCAAAATAAAATGTTTCTATTATTGCTTCCACCACTGTATATATATTTTTTGTTTGTAATGAAATACATTTTTTTTTTTTATAGAAATATAGGTCTTTATAAAAATTAACGTTTTTCGGATTCCAATGTTTTAAAAACACTGGACTTTAATAAACACTGAAACAAATATATTGATGTACATAAAATTATTAAAAAGTTTGTATGGATTATGAAACTATTATTTATATGGTTAAAAATTGGACAATATTTTTATAGAAAAATAACAAGCATTTAACTTGAAAAAATTGTGAACATTTAACAAAATCCGCAAGTTAATATTTGTTTGAGTCACTGTATGTTTCAAAATAGGAAAAATGATGGAATCGTATGTATGTGCATACAGTGGTCGTAAAAATTATTGCCGCACCACATAATGATAAGTTTTAGCAATTTATTTATTTTTTGTTATTTCTTAATTAGATTTCTTAGAAAGATTTTGAGTATGTAGCTTTGTGCCCCATTGAATTCTAGTAGAACAAAGTGCAGGTGTTAAATGGCTAAAAATTAGCGTTACTTTTTTAGATTTTTTGTTTGCGCAATTTGCTTCCATATAACGAATAAACAGTTTTTATTAAACATAATTTATTTTTATATTAAATCAAATCAAATCAAATATTAAATATTAAGTATATATCGATGGCTGAGTGGAAGATCGGCATATCTCGGCAGCCAGTTCAAAAACGCCCTATC